AAGATTTTACCTTGACAAGGAAATGAGATGTTTGTCAATATCACTTCAGGAGGAGCTCTGTATCCAGAGTCACAGGTGCAATTGTAACTCCCAGCTGTGTTGTTACACTGTGCTTTTGGACCACAAATTTGAGGGGGCTGTGAGCACTCGTCGATATCTGTAAAGAATTAAATTCTTTGCTAAATTGTTTTTAGATGTTACCTCACGACTCCATCCAAAATTACAAGTAGGGATCTGGACCTATCTTTTTTAGAACACTGAATTGGCTCATGGATATCTTTCTAGTACAAAATGCCTGTCACACCTGATATCCCTCCCCTGCTTATCTGTCAATTACCTGTATTAAATTGATGTGGTCTTGAATTCTGCATTTCTTTAATTTAATTTGCTGCTATATTGCATATTACTCAAATTTGGGTATCAAAGTTAACCCCATCATCATCTCCCTGGACCCCAGATCATGAATAATATTGTATCGGAAATGAAAGGTGAAGTATAGAAAAACATGTTCTGTCCTGTACTGGCTCTGGTTACTGTGAAAGCCTCTTAGGATTCCCGCAAGCTCTGTACTCAGTGGCAGAAAAGGTAGATAAAAATGGACTACCTGGAATATCTCAACAGCTGTTTTCACAGATCAAGGCTGAATAAGACCTGTAATCATGTTGGTCTCCCTTCCATTTCTCAATAAAATCTCTTTAAATCTATGTCTATTAATCTAACTTCCATACCTCGCCTGCAGAAGCAGCAATGTAATGTAAATGAACATTGAGGCACTGAAAAATTAATCTAAAAGAGATCATTTTCAACAATGTATTTATGGAAAAGTTCTCAAATCTCAAACAAATACAGAAGAAAAGTGTTTATACCACTTTTAATTACATTAAGACAAATCAGAGTGGCAAAGAGATGCTTGGATTTATACTAGTGAATGCATGGATTAGTTCAATAAAAGCATTAAATATTTCTGATTAAGGATTATTCAGGCACAACAAACTGAGTGATCACCTCCTCATTAGCACTTAGATGTACAGTATTTAGGATAGAGTATATGCTGTTTAAGAAACATAATAAAAACTAAATATTGCATTTAATTAATTCAATACTATTCATTTATTCTCTCATTATATTTTATTACACTATTCTTTTAATGTTTTAATTTAAGAGTAAATGATTTTTGTTAACATATTATGTACATAATATTTTTTTTCCTTAACATGGATATGAAGTGTTTGTCAGTGCCACACTAAGAGGAGATCTGTATCCTGGATTACAGTTGCAATGGTAACTCCCAGCAGTGTTGTGACACTGTGCACTTAGACCACAGATCTGGGGGGGTGTCTGTGACCACTCATCAATATCTGTTGAGAATAAAATTCTTTGATAGTGAAAACATCTCTTCATGTGGACTAAATGTACCTCATTGAAAGAGCTATCAAAACAAAGACAAAGGTAACAATTGCATTTTATTGCAATTCCATATGATGTTAGAATACGTTCCGTTTAATCGGCTCATTAACATAGGAATATTTACCACATTAGAAATATCAAAGGAGTCGTGAAGACTATAAATCCAACCAGACCTTTTCAGATCTTATCAAGACATTCAATAGGCTATTAATTCATCTTACAAATATGGAACCATATGAAATATGGTTTGTATGTTTGTATGTTCTCCCTGTGTTTGCACAGTCCAAAGATATTCCCAGAAAGTTAACAGGCTCATGTGTGAGTGTGTGTTTTTTTTTGTGTGTCCACTGGCCCCTGTTTCTGTGTGATTGGCGTCCTGTCCAAGGTGTTCCCTGCCTTGTGCCCACTGCTTGCTTGTATAGGGTCTGGCTCCCCTCTGATCTTTTCTTGGATAAAGCAATAAGAAAGCAGATGGAAGCAATTTACTATTTGTTAATTACAAATATTAGGTTTTGAAAAAAAAATGTAAGGATTGACATTTTACAAATTTTCATAATGTTCCAATATGTTTTAATTCTGTGATTTAATATCTGACTCATTTCCAGATGTACTGTATAAAGGGGTGAATATTTGAGTGTTTGATCCACCAGAAGTCCTGTCACAAATGTACACACTGTGATTTATGCACATGCTATTACTTATCATCCTTTCACATAATTTAAATTAAATTGATTATTTTAATATTATACTTTGAAAGCAAGATATTAGAGATTAGTAGAGATTGTATTTACATCTATTAATAAGCAGCAAAGTATTGTAGGTCAATGTATGACTTATGTCAAAATACCTAGGGATACATAAGAACATTTTATACCTTCACATGGATATAAACTATTTGTCAGTGTCACTCCAAGAGGTGATCTGTATCCAGGTACAATTGTAGCCCCCAGATGTGTTATTACAATATGCATTTGGATCAAAGATTAGAGGGGTCTGTGAACACTCATCAATATCTGTGGAGAATGAATTTCTTTGATGATAAAGTATTTATCTCAGACTAAATAATTGAAAGAATGTTTATAAAGCTTGTCTAAAAAAAAAGAAAAAAAACAATATATTAGATTTTCATAACAGACTAAATACTCTTCAGAAGATGTTGTTTAGTTCTTCATGTAAAATATATTGTTAAAGCTTTAAGTACGCTGGGCAAACGTTCCAAGGTCAAATTCTTCCAGCACGGGGGTACCTTTAAAGCGGAGACGACGGCACCGAAATGTTTTGGCGCGCCTTCTCTTTAAAGCCCTGGCCAAATATGAAGACAGTACGTACAGTTATAATTCAAACGGATTAAAAACTACACATCCCAGTTACCATGGTGGTGCTTGTGATCATTGCGTTTAACCAA